GAGGAGGTGTGGTCAAGGTGAAGGACACAGAACAAGATGGAGTCAGCTGGCCTAGGCCCGCCCTTTCACCAGGAGAGCCCGAGGACTAGAGTGCATTAAGAAAGAATGGCGATGTGTATTAAGTGCTTTGTGTGAATTCTGTGGGTGGCAAACTGATGTATCTTGCAGAATACGTATTATAGGCAGTCAAGACATTTTTGAGTGAATGAATGAATGAATGAATAAATGAATGCAGACAGTAAGATAAGTCCTGGAGGGTTCTCTTTTGCAAGAGCAGTTTCACAAGCATGGTAGGAAATGGACACCAGTTACAGCTGGTTGAGGAGGGAGTAGGGGATTACAGAATGGAGAACAGTGTAGATAATTATTTCTAGGCCTTTGATTTCAAACAGGAGACAAAAGATAGGATCAGGATAATGCCTGGAGGCATCTCTCCCTGTTGGCCCCTCATACTGAACTGTTCTGCATGGAATGCCTTTGGTAGGAAACTCCTTTGCTTGGGAATCAGTGGAGCACAAGCCTCACCTACCGAGCTTGTGGTTTTAGGCCCTGGTGGGCATCCAGGTAAATCTAAAGTGGATACTTACAAGGCCACACTTGGAGAAGTGCTTCCTGAGGAGGTTCTGAAATGCTGCAGGAAGCTCTTGGGGTGTCCTTCTTCTCCCCACCCATGCAGGAGTATCTAGTACCTTCAAGAGCTGGATTGACGGGGAGGCTGCTGAATCTTCTGTGCCATTTCCTCCGCATGTCCTGCTCCCTGTGGCGTACTTTCTTCCTGGCCACTTCTAACCCGATCTCTTCTCAGCCTTGTCCTCACTGCTCTTTACCCTTCATTGCTGCGTTCTTCTGTCTCCAGTGGCTTCTCTGTTTCCTTGAGGGAAAGACTGGCCTTTTACAGGCGTAACCAGCCAATGACAGTGCCTCTCTGTGTCTTGTGAGTGTGCTGACCAGTCACAGGAGAGTTGACAAGTGTCCTTGAAACTGTTCTCAGCTCCTGTCCTGTTCTCTCAGCTGCTCTTCAACACTAAAGCCTTGTTCTGCCTTCTGGGTCTGGAGCTCTTCCAGAAGGCTGATCTCTGGCTTGTCAAGGTTTGCAGAAGGAAAAGGACAGGGTGGTTAAAGTAATATTTTAAAGGTACATAGCATAAGGTTGCAAGGCTGACTAATAATAGAATGTTTCTGTGACCTAGTAACTTTAGCTTAGTGGTAACCCTCTGAATTGTGTAATATTTTAAAAGGTTTTTCAAAGCAGTCTAGTGGTCATGAAGTAGCCTGAGGAATATCCTGAGGAAACACATATCAGCCCATATATGGAACAAATATTTGTTCTGTTCACTTTGTGTAGAAACTGCCCAGATGGTCCATTCATCACAGTCTTAATGTTCCAGGCCCTTTTTGTCATAACTTTGGAATTGATAACATTATGCAAATTGCTTAGAATTTTAGTCTATGTGGATTTATGGCACATAAACCTGTTGGATAGGCCATAGAAGGCAAACTGCAGGCATGGCCTGTTTCCATGACACTCTGCCTCTGTCGGTCTTTCGGATGCAGTTAAAGTGATATGTAAGCAAAACTATAAGCTCGTGGCACAGCAGAACTTTCTGGTCTGAGCACAGTGTAGAGTATGTAGCTACGCAAGTTATTCTTACTGCTCTTCTCTGGGAAGCCAACAGAGAAAGCTTAAACAGCATTTAACAGCAGAAGAGGCACAGGAATCCTGGGGTGCTCTGAGCACAATTTTGAAACACTCTCCCAGAGCAGTGGGAATAGCATCCTAGAATAGAAGCTTTTGAAGCTAGAGGTTTGTTTGTTTGTTTGTTTTTTAAGAAATGTTTTTCCTACTAAAGGAAATTTACCAAGACAGAAGAAAATCCAACACAGTTACGCAGCCATAATTGTTTTTATGAAGAAAGTGAAAAGAAGAAAACACTATGACGGTTTTAAGACAAAGAAACCTATTATTTTTATATTATGTGTATGTACTTTATGTTTGTACACTGTAATTTTTACATACGTGTCATCTGAATATGTACTTTACATTCAAAATCATTTTAAAAACATTTTTGGTCTATACTGTATTTGGTTTTTGTATTCTTGTGGGAGAGGCAGATATTCATGCATAATTGGCTCCTGGTCCAAGAATAGTAAACAGTTAAAGGATAGGGTTAGTGACCTGTGGCGAGACCCATCTTTGACCAGCTCTGCTAAAGTGTAGATTAATATTATGAAAATGGAAAATAGTCCTATACCTAATGGGTGCAGGTTGGGATAATTCTGAATAATATACAGGATAATACTTAATTTATCTTTGGAGATTCGGGGAGACATTTAAGCCTCTGTCAGGTCTTCTTAAACTACCCTCCCAAACTTTTTCTTTTTAGGTCTCATTTGTAGATCTAGAAATTACAGGGAATTGAATGGAATATTTCACTAATCCCATGCATAGAAGTTGATTTTATTTAAAAAGATAACTAATTCTAGGAGATCAGACTCAAAAATTAAGTCAGGCCTTCCTTGTATAGGATGTTGGTCTTAGCCTGAGGAGAAATGGAAATTATTGAAAAGTTGTAATCAAGGTGGTGACCCGTGAGGATTTCAACCGGTTCACTCAAAATTCAGTATTGAGGTAACGGAGGCATCTGGATGTGGCTGGCTGTGTGGCCCCCATAGGAGCCACAGAAGGTAATAGGCATAGAGAGAGATTCCGTGGAACAAAGACTGTTAATCGCTTTTATGGTGTTAGCGAATACTTGGCACTTTTTTGAGCACTGTTAATTAGATGTTAGAATATATTTGATAGGGAGAAAGGCAAGAATGGATTCAGGGATCTGGCACGGAAACTATTGTAGAGTAAGTGAAAGATGAGGTAACTGGGAAGGGGAGGTGGTGGGAAAAAGGATATAAAGAAGGATGGCAGAAGAAATGGTCTGAGAGGTATTATGTTTATGAAATCAACAGAAGATAAGGTGACTGGGAATGTTTTGTGTTTAACGTGTTATCTTTTTTGTTATTTTCTTAATATTTAGCCATGTACATTTTGTATTTCAGATGAATTTACAACTGATTTTCTGGATTGGACTGATCAGTTCAATTTGCTGTGTGTTTGGCCAAGCAGGTAAAAAAAAAAAAAAAAGTTTTCTGGTTATCTTTTCGTTTCAGTGTCTTGTATTACTTCTTGATCAGTTAGATTCCATCATGCTGCTCCTTCTGAAAGCCCTGCAGCACCCCATCTCACTCAGGGTGACAGGCAGTGTTCTCACAGGGGCCTGCAAGGCCCTTCGGCATCCGGCTCCTCTCGCTGCTACCACCCAGAATAGAGATAAGGCCAGTTGGCTAGAGAAATGCCGAAGCCACAGGAATACAGTACGCTGCAGAAAGGTCTTTTAAGATTGTAACAGAGGTTTAAGTGAGCAGAGAGAAAGCAAAGGTGTGTAATGTATTAGAAAATAAAGTAAATGTGTAGGATGATGGATTATGAACAAGCCATTACTATCACAACTGATGTTCTAGAAGATGTTCTCCCTCTTTGATCATAAAATCTTGGCAAAATGTTGGCATTATCTAGAAGATGAATAAAAAGTAAAGCTGAAAATGTATTTAATCCTCTTACAAACCATGGTGCACCCACCTCTGGAATAATGGATGTGTAGTTCCCTCCTCCAAATCTCAAAACATACATTACATGTGACATTTATTTGATCTCAGAACAGGAAGGAGTTACTACATGGAAAAATGAAGGAAGAAACTTTAAAGGAAATTAATGATAATGTTGATTTACTTAAAACCAACAACAACATAAAATCTCAAAGTGTGTAGATGTCAGAACACCATCATCTTCTCAACAAGATGAGAAACTCAATAAAGGTTTAATTTCATTAGCATGTATAGAGACCTAATAAAAACAGATGAATGCCATAGAGGAATCATTTGCAAACAAAATTTAGAAAACAAATGGTCAGTAAAATATGGTAAGAATGAAACCTTAAATAAGTGACAAGTGAATTGATACTCTAATTTATATGGATTAAATGAGTAAAAGATTTTTTATATTTAAAAAGTACTTGGAGGCGCCTGGGTGGTTCGGTCGGTTGAGCAGCCGACTTAGGCTCAAGTCATGATCTTTTGGTTCATGAGTTCGAGTCTCTCATCAGGCTCTTTGATGACAGCTTGGAGCCTGGAGCCTGCTTCGGATTCTGTGTCTCCTTCGCTCTCTGCTCCTCCCTGCTTCTGCACACTCTTTCTCTCTGTCTCTGAAAAACATAAGTAAACATTAAAAACAATTTTTTAAAAAAGTTCTTGGTGCTTGCTGACGGTTTGGTGAACATGGTATTTTGTATACTGTTTGTGGGATTATAAATTAGAATATTACTTTTGGATAGAAGTTAGTGTATATTAAGAATATTAGGGGCGCCTGCATGGCTCATTTGGTTGAGTGGCTGACTTCGGCTCAGGTCATGATCTCGCAGTCCGTGAGTTTGAGCCCTACGTCGGGCTCTGTGCTGACAGCTCAGAGGCTGGAGCCTGTTTCAGATTCTGTGTCTCCCTCTCTCTGACCCTCCCCGTTCATGCTCTGTCTCTCTCTGTCTCAAAATAAATAAACGTTAAAAAAAAAAATTAAAAAAAAAAAGAATATTAAAAACATTAATAGTTTTCCACTCAGTGTTTCTATTGTTTTTCATCTGTGATAAGGAAATCATTAGAGTTTTACATTGTGAGAATGGTCACCACAGTAGGTACATATATGTGCATATATGTTTATATTTGTGTTTGGAGAATTTGTGTGTGCACGTGAGCAAGTGTGTGAATGATGCACTTATGCAATTGAAAAAAATCTAAATTTGTCCAACATTAAATAGGGTACATTAATATAGTGTAATATATAACCATTAAAAGGCATATTTTTGAAGATTTTTTTTTTTAAAGTTTATTTTGAGAGAGAACATGAGTACCTGAGCGGGGTAGAAGCAGAGAGAGAGAGGAGAGAGAGAGAATCCCAAGCAGGCCCCATGCTGTCAGTGCACAGCCCATCATAGGGCTCAATCTTATGAACTATGAGATCATGACCTGAGCCAAAATCAACAGTTGGACACTTAACCGACTGAGCCACCCAGGCTTCCAGTTCCAAAGAGCTGGAAATGAAACAGGATAAAGTATAAAAAGTAGTATGCAAAATATGTATTCTCTATATAAATAATGTCTCTATGTGTGGTTCCTTGCTATTTTTTTTTTTAATCTGTCTTTATAGAAAAAAGACTGGAAAGAAATATACAAAAGTGTTAACAGTAGTTATCTCTTAGGGAGTGGATTATGGGTGATTTTTTTTGTTTTTTATGCTTTTATATATTTTCCAAATTTTCTATTATGGGTATATGTTAGGTTTATAATTAGAGAATACACATTGGAGACAGACCATGTTAGTGCTTACCACATGAAAGGCATGCTGATCCTTAGGTAGGGTCAAAGAAATGTGAGACATACTTTGGACATAGAGCTTGAAAAATCATGAGATTGTGGACTGGATGAATTGGGCTTTTCAAGTATTTACATACTAAAAATAAAAGGAAAGCAGTTGCAGATGCTTCTGGAGGTATGGATATGGTAGTATGAGTTAATTGAAAATAAATAATATCTTACCCAGTTGTAAGAAAACTGACAATTATGACCATCAAACAATAGATCCTGAAATTATGCCTTTGAGGAAAAGAATAAGCGTATAGATTACTGGTACGTAGTCTGCTCTAGAAGACAAGAAAAAGATCACTATTTTTTCATGGCTCTCTATGCCAAGGTAATCTGAAATCACCAGTCTTTGGAGTACATCTGGATCAGTTCAGTAACTATTATGTAACATAACATAACATAACATAATGTAACGTAACATGATGTGATATGATATGATATAATATATAGTACTATAATATGTAACAATATATGACATATTTTGCTATTCATATTTAATGTTTATATATGTTGCATTTTAA